AGAAGAAGAAGAAGAAGAAGAAGAAGAAGAAGAAGAAGAAGAAGAAGAAGAAGAGGAGGAAAGGTTTATTTATATATGTAGGTGTTCTATCTGCATGTACATGTGCACAACAGAAGAAGGCAGTGGATCCATGGGTCTACCCTTATAGACAGCTGTGAGCTGTCGTATGGGTGCTAGGAATGGAACTCAGGACCTCTGGAAGAACAGCGTAACAGCAGTGTAAGTGCTCTTAACTGCTGAGCTACCTCTCCAGCCCTTTAATTCAAAGAAACTTCCTCCCACAGCTTAGCAAATACCTTAACTAGGTATTTCATAAATAGTTAACCAGCATGGAGGGAACACATTCCTCTGAACTACAAGTCCCAGGGATTCATGTTCCTCAAAGATATCTAAAACCCATCATAGCCTAACCCTTTGCAAAAGTAATTTTATTTTATTTTACTTTTTTTGGTTTGGTTTTTCGAGACAGGGTTTCTCTGTGTAGCCCTGGCTGTCCTGGAACTTACTCTGTAGACCAGGCTAGCCTCGAACTCTCGAACTCTCAAACTCAGAAATCCGCCTGCCTCTGCCTCCCAAGTGCTGAGATTAAAGGCGTGCGCCAACACCGCCAGGCTCAAAAGTAATTTTAAATTAGCAAAATACATGAATCTATGGTTATCAGCACAGCTTGTACTTTGGAGATAGTTAAGTAACCATATGTTCTCTTCATGGTATAGCGCTGTACAGTCATATTCTTGGTGGATCTTATGAGCAGCAGCTATGGGTTTAATGTCTATTTTTTAAATCACTAAGGTTCAAGCACCCTGTAGCATATTTGAAGAGAGGAAACATCTGTCAGAAGTGCTCACTGTGACAAATATAGAGGGAAGCGACAATGTATGCTGCTTTTGCTTATTTAATACCATACATTAATTTTAATTGAACAGTGAAGGCATTTGTTCAGAATCAGCCTTTAAATAAAAAATAGTTTAGACCTAATCTTTAATTAAAGCATACTTTGATAATATCAAGTTCAGTCTGAGGGTCAAAAACAACGTCAATAAGTCTGACTTTTCCCTCCCTGCAGGGAAAGTAGGCTTGTATAAATATACACATGTAGACTGCATGCATTTATAAGAGACAGGGAAAACATTCCCCTGTCTTCGGACAGCTGTTGCTTTGCGGTGCTCCAATTTGCGTGCAGGCACAACTCCCAATGTGCAGAGCCCTCAAGGAGTGTGCAACAGATTGTTGCTTTTGGAACATGTACTGCTTTCAAGTCTGCAGGCTCCTCACCTTGAATGTTAAATATAGCTCGTAAAAATACATTATGGATATCACCTCACTTTCACCTTTAAAATAGTTAAGGGAAAGAGTTGCTTCAATACATTTTCTTAGAAACTGAAAATAATCTGATTTTTGTGTTTGTATTCAAATGGTGTGTGTGCATGTTCAGATGGTGTGTGTCTTTGTGTTCAGATGGTGTGTGTGTTTGTGTTCAGATGGTGTGAGTGTTTGTGTTCAGATGGTGTGTGTGTATATATGTTCAGATGGTGTATGTTTGTGTTTAGATGGTATGTGCTTGTGTTTAGATGGTATGTGCTTGTGATCAGATGGTGTGTGTGAGAGTGTGTGTGTTTGTGTGCACCTATGCACATTCGTACACACTGGGTCTTAAACACACGATACTAGACAAATATGCTCTACCACTGATTCAACACTCCAAGCCAATTTTAAGGACGTTTTGTAAAAGCAAAAAATATATTTCCTTTCTTCTTTTTAATGATTTTCTTATTTTAAATTATTTTATGTGCATTGATGTTTTGTCTGCATGTGTTTGTACAAGGGTATGGGATCCCCTAGAACTGAAGTGACAGACAGCTGTTGAGCTGCCGTGTGCGTGCTGGGAATTGAACTCAGGTCTTTTGGAAGGAGACAATGCTCTTAACTGCTGAGCCATCTCTCCAACCCTTCCAGACTGAACTATTAATATGTTGTCTTTTGTACCTTACCAATCTTCTGATTTTAATCTCACCATCCTTCAGGATTTTTGTTTTGCTTTGACATTAACTTACTAAATGTTGCATGGCTGCATTCATAGGTGAAAGTGCTGAGCCATTCGTTAGCCTTCTGTCTTGTATGTGTGGTATATTTCAATTGAGAATGAAAATTAAATGCATGAATTGTGATACAGAAGCAAAGATGGAAACTAACTCATTCGAACAAATAAGATTCTCTCTCCAAATTACTAAAAAGCATCAGGCACACCCTAAGAAAACTTTTGTCAAGCACTTGAGGAAGTTGTATAATATATTCGGTCACCTTTTATTAAAAAGAGACATAACTAATGTTGCTATCCAATCAGACTTAAACCAAGACAATATTTGGCATGCTTTCAGAGAAAAGGTTTCCTGAGGAAATAGTAAACATTAGAACTTTGCCTAACATTTTTTTCTAAAGCTAAAACTGAAAACTCTGAATTGAACACATTCAGTTTCACATGGTGGCGGGAGTGTCTCACTCCTGTTCTGCTAGCCTTATTTCAAGCAGTTCATACTTGCAGCAGAGGTGGTTTCTACTTTAAGCGCTGTCCTTCACTCAGAGATTGGTAAGGATAGAGAGGAGAGCGGGCCCTGCTGTCTCAGTAGTGTGCTCCTAACGATCTGGATGCTGCACGTGGATAGGGTGTGCTGTGTCAGGTCACTGTGGAGCCAGTTACTACATGGTCATGAATAAAGTTCAGCAACTTCACCTCCTGAGGCCATGTTTATTCGCCTGGTTTGTTGTTTAATTCACCTTGTGACATATAAGCAGTACTTGTGGAAATCCTTGGCAAAGAAACAAAATCTTAAAAAACAAAAACAAACCCAAAACAAAACAACAGCAAATAGAGCTGTCGAGTTTATAGGGCATTGTCTGTCTTTAAGAGACTGTTGGGGTAGTGTGGAAGGCTCTGGTTCTGCAGGTCGTGTGTGAATGGCAAAGCATATTTTCATACAGCTCCCATGTTACTGTGAATGGAGAAGAAGCTAAAACAAAAACTAGGATTCCTTTTGCAGTCTTCCTCTCCTCCTCCAACAAGCACAGACCTACCAACTCTAGATCTGCACCACATCAGTCCTGAGCTGCCCTCCGGCAGGGCAGGGGTAGGACTGGCTCCCAGTGCCTTCACAGGGCTTCTTCTGCTGGGCTTGGCTAGAGATTATCAAGTCATGACTGGCAGACAAGACCCTGAAATGAACATCACATGTCAGACTTGCCTGTCCTTCAGCAGGCAGTTCGGGAAAGATGAGTATAATTCCAATGTACATCCACTAGCTCTGATTACTTTCTCAGTGAAATATGTATTAGCTTTCATTATAGTGATGAACTCTATTGTAAGAATGACTGGGAGGCCAGCAGAGTAATCATTGGATTGCTGTAAGAGCAAAGGAAGGGCTCGGCTGCAGCTCAGAGGTAGAGTGCTTGTCTAGCATGACTGAGGATCTTGGTTCAATCTCAATACTTCTCAGAAGGGGGAAAGGAGGGAGATTAAACAAATAAAAGAGAAACTGTACATAACCGGGGAAAAGGTTGAAATAAAATGTATAGAATGTGTTAACATCTATCAACATTATATATTATACATTAGCATGCCAACATTATACATCAGTTGTGGCAGATCTGCTCCTCACATAGCTTGTAAAATACTTGAGATTAGGATTGTCTTATGTGAATTTATTTAAAAAAGACAGGACCTCTTGGTTCAGGTTGGTCTTGAAGTTGCTGTTTAGCTGGTGACAACTGAGAACACCTCATCATCCTGCTTCAATCTCAAGAGATCTGGGATGTTAACTGGCCGTATCCCAGCCACTACTTGTTTGGATTTCTATGTTGTATTGTTTAATGCATGGGAAATATGTATTTTAGAATAAGTGAGGTTATTTCCTGGATTGGTGTAAGTTTGTATAGAAACAATGTAATTTTTTTTAAAAACAAAACTGGCCAGGCGGTGGTGGTGCACGCCTTTAATCCCAGCACTCGGGAGGCTGAGGCAGGCAGATTTCTGAGTTCGAGGCCAGCCTGGTCTACAGAGTGAGTTCCAGGACAGCCAGGGCTACACAGAGAAACCCTGTCTCAAAAAATCAAACCAAACCAAACCAAACCAAACCAAACCAAACAAAACTGTTTTATCATTAGGAAGTTTATAACAGATTTATACAAAGCTGAAATGAGTTTAGAATCAAAATTAGACTGGAGACTCAAACCTTTTTTTTTGGATCATAAGCCCCTTTGGGAGTGAATGAAGCTTCCAGTGTCTCCAGAGAGAGCGGGCTCAGAACTTTTGTCCTGGGGCAGAGGAGAGAACAGTCTACACACTCTCTGTGCTCCTCCTTTCCACTGCCATCTGCCACTCCCTATTCCTTCCACCGTCACTAGAGCTCATCACCCCGAGGCCTCACTTTCCTTTGAGATGGTGCCTTTCCCCTGAAGATTCAAACATCTTTATCTACATCTTTAGGGACTTTTCTGCCCTTACCTTTCCCTCCCTGAGTGCATCTAGTCAAACTCCCAACTTTTCCAGAACCATCCCCACCTCCGCAGTTTTATGAGTGTTTGTGGTGACCAACACTAAAGTGTGTGTGTGTGTGTGTGTGTGTGTGTGTGAAAAGGACAGAAGGCAGATAGCTAGGAAGACCCCTCTCTTCATCTGTGTTGACAGTTGGGTATCCCACTCCCCTGAAAAAGACAAACCATACAAACATTTGAAGAGACCTACCCTATGTCTTCAGTAATTGTAGTTTTATCTTCTTGGGAACATTTTGAAGATGCATTTCCATGTACAAGATACCTCTGTACATCAGAGAAAAAGACTACTTTTGGCTTACCCACCTGTGGGTAATAAACAGGAACTATGTGATGTATTGTTTCAAAGTTACCTGTAGCATACAAAGAATTAAAAGCATCCTGCTTTGAAACTAATTACTAGATTATCAAATGGTATACATTAGTATCTTAAATTATATGTTATAGAATGGAATTTTAAAAAGACAAATCCACAGTAAAATCAACAATAAATTAATACCCCAAATAAAACATCACAGACTCTTATACATAAAAACCACACAAGAAAAAAAAAACACACAGAAGAAAATTTATAGTTAATTCTTATAGAGAAAATGAACATGCTAGCATTAATATAAGCAACTGACTTAAACTTTGCTCTTCTAAATTTATTTTCAAAGTATAACTTTTACAGCATGAACTAGCCATGTGTAATTGTTGGGATATGTTCATACTTTTACTTGAGCAATTATTCTCTATTATTTATGGTTTCCAGCTGTGATGTCCCTTTTAGTGGGGAAGACCTTGTTTACCTTCAAGGTCTATAAAAGTAACTTTTATTTGCCTGATGTAACCATGATCTCAGAAGCTTACTACTGAATAAGCTCACCCTTTCTCTTTCTGAACTCTGTCTGGCTCAACTCAGTTGTTCTGGCTCAGATTCCTTTCCAAGCTGACTGATTCAAACTGACTTCTCTTGGCTTCTGACTGAATTGTTCTGCTTGGCCTTAAACTAACTCTGGCAATCTGTAATAATCTTCTGGCTCCTTCTCATTCTCTGGCTCCTTTTGTCTTCAACCTGTCTCTGTAGAACTGTCCTGGTAAACCTGCGTGTCTCTCTCTCTCTCTCTCTCTCTCTCTCTCTCTCTCTCTCTCTCTCT